ATCAACCCCGAGCAACTCAGCGCGATGACGCAAGGCATTTGGGGCAAGGCCGCCGCCGCCGAGGTGAGGAACGGAACTCTTACGCTGCGTTCAGCTCGCGCTTCTCCTGGGTGCCATGCAGCTGCGTGGAACGCGTACATCGCCTTCCTCATCCCGTACCGTGCGCACTGCATTGCCCCCTCGCCCCAACTGGAAAGGACGATGGGCGCACATCTGCGCGTTGCCATATGGCTGGCTGGGGCATCCTGGGTGCCGACCTTCGTGTTCACAGGAATCAGACCGCACTGCCACATTCCTGAAAGACCGAGATGCCTGAGTGCCGCCGCACGCGCAGTAGCCGCGTTCGCGTTCTCCAGGCAGGACGCATGGGGCCCCTCCCGCTTGAAGGCGCGCGCTGACCAGATGGAACAAGCTGACCCGGCAGGCCGAAGCACGCCGTCAGCCGCACGCATCTTCAGGACCTTGGCCTGGCGTCCTGCCTCCAGCCAGAGCTGCAACCATCTTTCGACGGCACGTCGGTCAGCCAGGCGCCCCCCGGGGGTCGCAGCTGTGCCGGGCCCTCGACGTGGCCGCCTGGGCTCAGCAGCATGGGGCAGATTTAAGTCGGGCATGTCCCTCTACAGGATGAGTATACAAAAGTAGTCAGAGACAGAGTGCGGGGACTGTTTTTTTGACTGTGTTTGGTTATGTCTGAGAGTATTCTTCATTTCTCGTCCAGAGTCCCCCTGCAGGAGGACATGCCCGACCTGAGGGTCGATTTCTCTGCCTGGCGCCGCGCCGCCGGCGTGCGACGGCGGTGGCGCCCTGCACTGGGGCAGGCATGGCAGATGCCGGCGCACGCGCGGCGCTACTCGTCCGCCTTGCACGTCCTCGGGCCCAGGCCCCCGAGGTCGTGGTCGTTTCGCAGCGTCGACCCCCAGAGGCAGGGCTCCTTTGGATGCCTCCGATTCGGTTCGATTCGACTTCGATGGCTTCCGATTCCGATTCCATTCGGCTTGGGATTCCGACCTGGGTCCCAATTCATCATTGGAGGCATCCTAGTCTGCCGATGTCCACCGATTCGACTTTTCCCGACTCGGCTGCCGATTTCCGCCGATCCGATTCATGTCGATCGCCGATCCCCAGAGCTTAGTGGGCTCTGGAAACGACAGGGCCGTTTTTACCGGTTCCGCCGAAGATAGCGAAACACCTCCCGTCGCGATTTTTTTCTCACAGCGCCACAAGGCTTGGGGGCCCCTGTCCAACGGACTACCACGGCACGCCAGGCGGCGCTCCAGGCCTCCTAGCTGGGGTCGTAGTAGATGGGGTCGGAGAATCGCGCCGCATCGCCGATGCCTCGCCGATGCATCGCCGATGCGGCTCGATGTGGAGCCCGATTTGATTCACGTCGACGTCGCCAATGCATCGCCCACGGAGGATGCATCGCCAGTGCCGCACCGATGCATCGCCGGTGCATCGGCGATGCGGCGCGATCCTCCGACCCCAGCTGCTCCGACCTCATCCTAGGAGCCCTCCTGGGGCCGCGCGAGCTCGGAGTGGAGGCCGCTCGCGGAACTCGCCGTGCCTCTGGCCGCCGTAAGGTCAGCAAGCGTGGCAGAGAGAAGGGGCAGCCAGGTGGCTTCTTTTCTGGGGCGCCATCGCGGGCCTTCTCGGGGGCGGAGGGGATCTTGGTCGACGGGGGCAGCAAGTCTTCGTGTCTATTTCTCGAACGCACACGGCGCCGGACGCGCAGGCCAGCGCCCGGTGCCAGCGCGATGCCTCGGAGACTGGGGAGACCAGGCCGCGCCGCGGGTCGCCCTCCCCGGAGATCCAACGCATTGGAAAGATCACAGGGGCACGAGAAATGGCATAAACATAAAAACTCAGATGTCCGCGCGGATTTCTTGGATCCTCGCTGGACCCCCCTCCCTGGCGTGCGGAGCGCGCTAGGGGCGGCGCCGGAGGCGCCCCCAGGGGGGTCCAGAGCGGATCCGAGAAATCCGCGCGGACCTCCGAGCTTTTATGTTTATGTCATTTTTCGTCCCCCTAATAAGGAGGTTATTCGCGGTGTTTGTCCTCAGGAAACGGCTCGGGATGCAAGAGCGGTCCTGGGGAGTGGGTGGAGACTTCCGGGGGCCGCGCACAGAACACAAAAAAAACATAATTAACGTCGGATCTCTGGGGACTGGGGAGGCCAGACCGCGCAGAGGGCCGCCCTCCCCGACCATCGCATATCCCAGACCGACTGGTCGAGCTGTGCCGGGGTGCGCGGGGGGGGAGGGCAGCTTTCACCCCGTGCGGAGGTGGAGGGCAGCTCTCGCCCGTGGGCCCGAGCTCCTCCCCCGCCCGTACAGTGGAGGCCCATGCCAAGAAACACCCTGCTTGCCTCCAGGGTGCCCTGGGTTTCTTGGGTTTCGATGGTTTTGCTGTGGAAGCGATGCGTTGATGTGGAAGCGTTGCGTTGCTGTGGTTTTTCTGGGTTTCTTGGGTTTCTTGGGTTTCGATGCCCTGCGTGACGTTCCCGCACCAAAAATCGATGGACGTCGTGGGGTCTCAGGGTCGGGTTGCCTGTGGAAGGTTTCTTGTTGTCGGGCCCCCACTGTGCAGCTGTTGCCCGCTACGCGGCCAGGGGGGCACCTGTGGAGTTGGCGCGCGGCAGCTGCCCTCGCCCGGCCCCTGGTTTTCCCCGCGGGCGCGCCGCGGATCCTGGCGGAGGCGGGGATGCGGCCGGGGCCCCGCACTGCGCACTGCGCGCCGCTCTGCGTCGTGTTTCGCCAGCTGGCCTTCCGCGCAAAGCGGTCGCCCGATCCACCGTGCCCCGCTGGGCGCCGACACTGCCGCCAACCAGATCCTGTCAGGGGTGGTGGTAGACAGACTTGCGGACGGCACTGACGAGTCCACGCCCGACGACCTGCTACCGTACAACGGGGCAGACGTCACCGGCGTCCGGGACCTCGGGGGCGGAGCCTGCCCCGAGTGCATGCCCGTTGACCCCTGACAATGCCTGCGGAGTTCAGGAAGGCCGCATGCCATCAGGAGGGCGCCAAGGGCTGGATGGGGAAGTCCGCCGGCTTCCTGTCGTCTGTGCGTGCACCCCGGCGGACACTCCGCCGCTCCACCTGCAATGCGACCAGGACGCTAGAGGGCGGGTGCTTGCTGGGCCAGGATGGCCCCCATGCCTCGGGGCATCGTGCGAGGGTGCCAGCGCCAGATGGGATGCCCGATTCTGCCGCACTTGCCGGCAGCGCTGCCAGACCCTGCGCGCCAACTGGCACCTGGAATCCCTCACCGGCGTCGAGGTATAGAAAGGTCTCCTTTCCTCGACCAGGACCGCGCGCAGAGGCCTATGTTGGTCGCCTTTCATGGCGGCGCCCGCTCGATTGACAATCGGGGGAAGAAGGTTGCCGGTGCAGGAGCCACCCTGTGGCGGCACCTGCCTGGCGGAGGCCCGCCCGTGCAGGTGGCCTCCTGCGCCATCGCCACCCCAGGGGTCCGACAACGCCTAGCTGGCCGAAGCCACTGGGTGCAGGGCTGGACTCGGCATGCTCGCCAACGCGTCCCCCAGCGCCAGGGGCGCCAGCGTCGTCGGCGACAGCCTGGCCGCCATCCGCTGCGGAGCTAGCACAGGGAGGCACCGTCGCCCCCCCCCCTTGCCGCGCAGATGGGCCTCGGGGTCCGGCCGGCCCCTTGTCGAGGGGGGGGTGGGCCCTTACTTGGCAGGCTGTCAGGCGCCGCCTTCACGTTGCGAGCTAGCGGCTTGCCGCGCAAGGTGTGTGTTTGGGCCGACCAGCTTCGGCAGTCGGGCGACCTCTCCGCCCGCGCTCGGACGGTATGGCACAGCTGGAACGGGAACGGCCCCTCCCGCCCGCCCGTGCCTGCTCTCTTCCCCATGGGCTGGCGTGACCACCTCGATGCCGAAGTGGTCTCTGCCCTCGCCGAAACCCTCGAATCCAGCAGTGACCAGGCAGCCAGGAGACATGGAACTGGAGGCCCCCGTGATCGATCGTAATCTGCCGATCGCCATGCTAAGGCCCCCCGCCCTGCGACCAGCGCAGCTCTGTACACCTCTGCGTGCGAGGATCAGTCGCTCCCGGCAAACCTGGTAACCTTGTAAGAAGACCCAACCATGGTCAATCATGCAAAGGGACCCGTGCGTCGGGGGCTGTCCTGTAAGCGCCGCGACACCCAGGGGCCCCAGACGGGGCCCGACGGCAGGCCCAAGTTCCAGTGTAGGGGGGGCGCCCTGAACGCGGTGGGAAAAGTTCGACAACTTCTGGGGCTGGCATGGTGAGCTATGCCAGAAGGCAGTGGAAGAGAAGGCCTACCTCGTCTCGGAGCCGCACCCGAAACGATTCAGCCAGCAGGCCGACCGCGGGCCTCCAGACCCGCAGAACTAGCAGCAGGGAGGTAACCTATGGGCTATGACGCGGGGGCATTCCATTCGTGAAATTCCAAGGTTCCGGCACCCTGGCTGGATGGTGGTCGCAGCGCTCGAGGTCGTGGATGGCCAGCTCCGCGACGAGAGGGACTACGACGACGGCGATTGGGAGGACGCAGTCCCAACGCGCCGCCCGCCAGCCTCAGCGCCTGCTGACTGGGCTCCGCCCACGAGCTGCAGAGCTGACATTGATGACATTCACAGCCCGTGGCAGAGAGCGGGGGAGTTACAGGCCTGTGGCAAGGCAGCTGAGACACGGGCGGCCCTAGCAAGAGTCGAGCTGCCAGGCTCAGTGGGCACGGGTGCCGACGTCGCTGATGCTGCAGCTGCCTCCAGCAGTCTGGGCGCCAACCAACCTGGGGACCCAAGGAGCATGCTTTGCTGGACGACGCCGACTTCAGCATCGACAGGCCTACAACAGCGGCAGCGAAGTTCGTCCAGCTGCTGTCTGCCAAGCCATGCTCTCAACTGGCGCGCCGCCAGACGCCCGACGGGCCCCATCCCCCGCGCGGTGGCGCTCCTAGAGCGTTTGCCCACGATCGCCCAAGATCGTAGAAGACAGGGCAGCGGGCCCGGCTAGAACCTGCCGGCGATGGCACTGCCGGGGCCCGGGAAGCGCTCCGCCGACGGCGGACCTGCGCCCTCGACGTTTCCATCCAGAGATGCGACTCCGCAAGGCCGCACCCCGTTGTCCGCGAAGTTGAGCTCGAGCAGCTGTATGCCGACCAGCACGTGGGGACTGTCGCGTACAACGACCCCACCTGGCAGGGCGACTGTCAGGTATAATGGCCCAGGGAACAAGAGGCATCCGCCCCCGTCCACGTGCCCCGTAGATCTCCAGTCACTGCCCAGATCGCACACATGATTGTGGAATGGCCTCTGGTACCTGGTGGGATCGTGGGACGCGGCCGTCGCAAACGATGCCCGGCCAAGACCCTCGTCGCGAGGTTCGACGCCAGGCGGGGGACCTTCCACCCAGACAACACTGCCGCCACCAGGCCACAAGGCCCGGACGACCCCTGGCACCGCAGTGACCCCGCCCCGCCCCAGATGCAGATGAATCGAGGGTGGACGGCCGTCCAGGAAGGAGGCTTTCCCTCCCCAGGCGGCCCAGACTGCGCTGCGGGGCCCCTCGCTGGCCGTGCTTGCCTCTCGGACGGACGACCTCGCGAACAGAGACACCGCCACCTCAGTGGCCCACCTGGCCTGGGCAGGGCCCGCAGCAGGACGGCAGGCTGCCGCTGCGCCCTCGGCTGACCCGGCTGCCTCGCCCGCGCCGCCGGGCCCGCCGCCGGCCGGACCGACCCGGGCCCGCAGCCGATGAGGTCGAGGCCTGCCCTGGTCTCGTCTTGCGGCGGGTCCTCTCGGCGGCGACGACGAGGGCCAATAGCCCGGGGGCGGGCATGGCACGTATGTATTCGCCCGGGAGCCCTGTCGAAGACATCGAGCATCGGCGCCCCAGGATGCATGTATTGCTCTCCCCTCGGCGATTCGCCCCTATCGTCGCCTCTGATCCTCCACTCCCCCGCGCGGGGCAGCGCAGATGAGGTCGCCCGGAGGTGCCAGCCCGACGACGCTCAGACTGATCAGTCCACATTTGATGCACGGGCCACCTGGCCAAGACGATCAGCTTCGCCGACAGGCAGAGCGGCTCGAGGGGGCCCCGGGCCCGGGCTCGTGGCGCTCCACGATGCTGTCGCACTCCTCCTTCTGGCCCTCCACGGTCTCGATCGTGGCCTTCGCAATCCACCACAGACTCGACACAGGTGGATCTGCAGGTGCACCAAGTGCAGTCGGGTTCATGGTGTAGCTCCTCGGCATCTTCTTACGATCTCGCTTTGGTGGAGTTGGTCGAGGCAGCACCCTCGAACGACTGTGTCGGCCCAGCTTGCGTGGGGAATCGACTCCGAGCTGCCTCCCACCCAAAGAAGCTGAATCGAGAAGAACAGCCCGGCACAAGCTTAAACTTTCGGAGGTCCGCACGGATTTCTTGGATCGGCTTTGGGCCCCCCCCCTGGCGGCGCCTCCAGCGCCGCCCCTGGCGCTCTCTGCGCGCCAGGGAGGGGGGTCCAGCGCAGGTCCAAGATCCGCGCGGATCTCCGCAAGTTGAGGTTTGCGCAGTTGTTTGGGCTCCTCTGCAAGAAGATGTGGATCAGGGGGGACGCGCGCGGACTGGCGAGAGGAAGACACTTGTTCTCCCGCGCCCTCTGGAGCGTCCGCTCGCGGTGCGTGGAGGCGAAGGTCTCGGCGAATGCGACGGCTGGATTGCTCCGCGGGGACCGCGGGGGAGCGCTTCCAGCGCGGCCAAAGAGGCGCCCCTGCTTCTCCCTGCCGTGGTGGGCCGCTGGCGCCTCTCCACCGAGGGGGCCCAAGATAAAGGAGGGCCCCGGCACGACGAGGTGCGGAAGGAGTTCGCGAATCGGTGCCTGGCGAACGGTGACTCCACCACGCTTGTTGACTGTCTGGCCACACTGTGCCTGAAGCGTTCCTCACCAAGTCATGCTTCGAGTGAGCTTTCGAAGTGGCCTTCGAAGTGGCCGGCATTCGCGTTACGACGGTGGCTGTTGAAGCATGAGGTCAGCTCCCATCTTCTCCCTCAATTCAAAGTGTTATGAACGAAGCGCGGGGAATATTGCGCGTCGTAAGTAGCGGCGGGAGGGACGCACGAGGACGGGCGGAAAGGGGCGAACTCGGAGGCGTCGCGCCGTTGGACGCTCGTGGTCACCTTCGAGCAGTTTGGGGGGGAGTCGAGATGAGCACCCTGGCACGGCGAACATATTCGGCGGCCTGGAGTGGTCCCCGTCCCCTGGGCCGGAGAGCGGCGGCGGGTGGCGGGTGGCCGAGGCGGGGGGTGGGAGGTTGGGCGGCTGGGCGGGATGTGGGGGCGGGGGGCTCCCCAGCTGTCGGGACTCGTGCTCCGACCTCCGACGTGGCAGTCTCCGTGCGCGCTTGTCTCGGAGGACGCGGAGGGGAAGTTTGCGGGAAGATGGGCGGGGGGAGGAGGGGGAGAAGCAGGAGGAGGAGGAGGAGAAGTAAGAGGAGGAGGAGGAGGAGGAGGAGGAGGAGGAGGAGGAGGAGGATGAGGAGGAGGAGGAGGAGGAGGAGGAGGAGTATGAAAAGGGAGAAGGATGGAGAAGAGGAGGGGCAGCTTGCAGGTCGAGATCTGCCGAGTCGGAGGCATTGGGGCCTCTGGGGGCTGCGCGGTGTAATTCGGGGCGGCGGGGCGGATGGAGGGAGACGAGAGCGGGCGAATAAGGACAAGGGGGGAAGTACATGGTTGTCAGGAGTGGTAAGTGGAGGAAGCCGAGGGATGATAAGGACGAGGGCGATGAAGACGATGATAGGTAAAGATGAAGCTGAGGATGAGCATGAGGATTGTGAAGACTACGGGGGCTATCGAAGACGCCTGCGGCGAGTCACCGTCCCCCCCCCCCTGTCTTTTGGAAGCGCTCGTGGCGTGAGATGTCGAGCAAAAGTGCGGCCATATTACAGTCGAGCATTTGACTAACACACCTCAAGAAAAATTGGGCCCGCGTTTCTGAACCAGCTTGCAGGAAAGCGGGCCCAGTTTCTCAAGCACGCTCGCCTTTGCAGCACTGGCCGACAAAATTGGCCCAGGCTTGTTTTCAGACACTTCCAGAAGCTGACACCAACCGACACCAGCGCCAGAACCAACTCCAGCAGAGAAGCACGCTATTGCTGTCTGGCCTTTGCTTTCCCCAGCGCGTGTACGCACAGAGAGGTTACGACCTCCACGCTCCGGCCCAAGGAGGCAAAGACCATGTCCTGATGAGAGTGCGAGTGTGAATGCGAATGGCCCCGATGTCTTAGATCAGACCTTTTTTATAATCGTCTGTTCGGCTGTAGGTGGACTGCGCGTGAACCCCGAGCTGATAGCCTCCTCCTCCTGCCTCCTCCTGCCTGTTCCTGCCTCCTCCTGCCTCCTCCTCCTCCTCCTCCTCCCTCCTCTCTCCTCCTCCTCCCTCCTCCTCCTCCTCTCCTCTCATCCCTCCTCACCCTCCTACTCCTCCGCTCCTCCTCCTCCTCCTCCTCCTCCTCCTCCTCCTCCTCCTCCCTCCTCCTCCTCCTCCCCCTCCTCCTCCCCCTCCATCTCCCTCTTCCACTCCTCCCTCCCTCCTCCTGCCTGTCTCCTCCTCCTCCTCCTCCTTGCTCCTACCCTGATCCTCCTCCTCCCTCCTCCTCCTCCTGCCTCCTGCCTCCTCCTCCTCCTCCTCTCCTCCTCCTCCTCCTCTCCTCCTCCTCCTCCTCCTCCTCCTCCTCCTTCCTCCCTCCTCCTCCTCCTCCTTCTCCTCCTTCTGCTCCTCCTCCTCTCCCCCTTCCTCCTCCTCCTCCTCCTCCTCCTCCTCCTCCTCCTCCTCTCTGGCCCTCTTCGGCCGTCTTGGGGCCGTCCTGGGGGCCTTGTGGACTGTCGCTGCGCTCTCTCGGGCTGTCTTGGTGCGCTCTCTTGGGCCGTCCGGCGCTCTCGGAGGCGGTCTCGAGGGCCCCCTCTGGGCCGCCCTGGGCCCCTCCTGGGGCCCCGCGGCCCTCTCGGTGCGTCTTGGGACTCTCTTACCGCCCTCTTTTGGAGGCCTTCTGGGCCCTCTTGGGGCGATCTTGGGGGCCTCTTGGGTCGTCTTGGGCTCCCGGGAGCTCGAGGAAGTTACGGATCGGTTTCTCTCGGGGTGCCCTCCTGGGGATCTGCTTGGAGCCTTCTCGGGGCTGTGGAGATCTCTCGTGAGGGCAAGGGCTCTGTCCAAAGTCGGGCGCGCCGAGCACCAAGGCACACGGGGCGGCGGAGCTACTGGCCTGCGTCCCCTCCTGCCACCGCGCCTGGGTCGTGTGCCAGAGAGGCCTCTCTGTCGAAGCCTCCTGGGGCCTGTGGGGCCCCTCGTCCAGGATGCCGTGCCCGAGGCTTTCTGCGAGAAGCTTCCTGGAGACGTTTTGGAGCCCTCCTGATACTCCGCTCCTCCTCCTCCTCCTCCTCCTCCTTCTCCTCCTCCTCCCTTCTCCTTCTCCTCCTCCTCCTTGTCCTCCTCCTCCTCCTCCTCCTCCCCCTCCTCCTCCTGATACATTATTGGGGCACCCTCGGGGCCCTCGTGCTGTTTGTCGGGGGCGTACACGGCCAACCCATGGCCACACTGTGGCCTCTGAGGCCCGCGTGATGCTGTAAGGCACAGAAGTGCAGACGCGTGCTGCTGTTCACATGTCGTAGTTTCTCAGTGGCCTCATTGGGATGCTCTGGGGCCTCCACGGAGGCATGCTGGGTCTCCTGCGGTCATCATGGAGGTCATCTTGGGCCAAAACGAGTCATTTGGGGCTGTCTTGGAGACCAGGTCTGGCAACCTTGGCCTATTTGGGAGCTATGCTGGGCCGAACTGGAGGACTGTATTCCCAATTGTGCTCCTAGGTGTTGGAGAGCTGCCGAGGTACGCCAAGAAGTCCTGGTCAGCGGCCCCTGAACGACTGCACATCTGCAGAATTCTAGTGCAAAATGTCTAGAGGGACGTGACTCTCCTATGCAGTGCTTGCGCTAAGGCGTTCGTGCGCATGTCGGAAGGTGGGTTCGATTTTCTTGTCGTCGCTCAGAGGGTCCTTCCCGTGGGGTGCCGCCTTTGGTTGCTCATTGGGTTGGGATTGGCCGTCGTCGCCCACGGGTTCCAGCCCAAGCGTGCCGCCCTTATCTGCCCTGGGTGTCGGGGTTGCCGGTCGTCGTCGTCGCCAATAGGGTCCCGCACTTGGTCGTCCTGGGGGTTCGCCGCCATCGGCCCTAATAGAGTCCCGCCTTACTCATTCCTGATATGATGCCACTCCACATGGTGCCCTTCGGTCACGTTGGCGGATTTTCGAACGGCATGGGGTGTTTTTTGCTTCGCTCTATGGTTACGC